AATCCCTTATGAAAGAAAGTTGTAAATGACACAAACAAATTTTTCATGGACTGGAAGAATTAGTATTTTAAAATGGCCATACTGCCCAATGTTACTTACAAAGTCAATGCAATCCCCATCAAAATACCAATGTCATTTTTCATAGAATTGGAAAAAAAATTCTCAAATTCATATGGAACCAAAATGGGCCCAAATAGCCAAAGCAATCCTAAGGAAAAAGAAAAAATGGAAAGCATCACATTAACTGACATCAAATTACAGTACAAGTCGTTGTAACCAAAACAGCATGGTACTGGTATAAAAGTAGATATATAGATCAATGGAATAGAATAGAGAACCCAGAAATAAAACCAAATTCCTATAACTAAATGATCTTTGGCAAAGCAGGCAAAAACATACACCAGGGAAAGAACACAGTATTCAATAAACAGTGCTAGGAAAATTGGATAGCCACGTGCAGAAGAATAAAACTGAATCCCCATCTCCTACCACACACAAAACTTAACTCAAGATGGATCTAAGATTTATATGTGAGGCCTGAAACAATAAAAATCCTAGATGAAAACCTACAGAAACTATTCTGGGCATTGGCCTAGGCAAAAAAATTATAACTGAGACTCCAAAAGCAAATGTAATAAAAACCAAAATAGAAGAATGGGATTTAATTAAACTAAAATGCTTCTGCAAAGCAAAAAACAAACAAACAAACAAACAAAAACAATTAAAAGAGTATACAGACAACCTAAAGAATGGGAGGCAACAGTCACAAACTACATGTCCAACAAAGAACCAGTACCAGAATGTACAGGAACTCAGTTCAGCCTAGAATAAAACAACCCATTAAAAAGCAAATGACATGAACAGGAATTTTTCAAAAGATACACAAATGGCCAATAAACACATAAAAAATGCTCAACATCACTAATCATCAGGGAAATGAAAATTAAAACTACAGTGAGATACCATCTTACTCAGATTAGAATGGCCACTATTAAGAAGTTAAAAAAAAATAGATGTTGGTGCAGATGTGGTGAAAAGGCAACACTTATACACTGTTGGTAGGAATGCAAATTAGTACAATCTTTATGGAGATCAGCATGGGGCTTTCTCAAAGAACCAAAAGTAGACCTATCATTTAATACTGCAGTTCTACTATTGCAGATCTAGCCAGAAGAAAATAAATCATCACATAACAAAGATTCCTGGACTTTTATGTTTATTGCAGCAATTTACAAGTGCAAAGATACGGAATCAATCTAACCACCTATCAACTGATCCGTCCATCACTTTCTTCATACATGAAATGTGTGTTTAAAAAGTGCCATTGTGAGTTAATACAGGAAAAGCACTTACCATGCATGAGGCCTAGCATGTAGTTTGCTGTCAATAAGTGTTAATGGTTATAAGATTATAAAACTATACAAGACTCTCTGAAGAACTTAGACATGACAAAGTATCTATTTCAGTGCTAGAATTTCTTTAAACCAAGGCAGATCTGCTAGTAGCTTTAAGGGCAGTAAAGGTTAAAAAAAAAAAAAAAAGGATTTTTGGTTTTTTTGAGACAGAGTCTCACTCTGTTGCTTGCCCTCAGTAGAGTGCTCTGGCATCATAGCTCACAACAACCTCAAACTCTTGGGTTCAAGTTATCCTCCTGTCTCAGCCTCCCAAGTAGCTGAGACTATAGGTGTCTGCCACAACACCCGGCTATTTTTAGAGACAGGGTCTTGCTCTGGCTCAGGCTGGTCTTCGAAGAGGTAAGTTGTAGCACAGTCACAGAGTATTAACTTCATAAGCAATTTATTCCGTGTTGATACAGAATCTATGAGAAATGTTCAAGTTACATGTACATGATCTTTTTACGGCAGAATTATTTCTAATTTATCCCATTCCCTCTTTCACTTCTGATTTATGTATTTATTTATTTATTTTATTTCTGAGACAAGAGTCCCACTCTGTCACCCTCGGTAAGTAGAGTGCTGTAATATCACAGCTCACAGCAACCTCAAACTCCTGGGCTCAAGCAATCCTCCTGCCTCAGCAACCAGGACTATAGGTGCCCAGCCCCACACCCGGCCAATTTTTAGAGAGGGAGTCTTACTTTTGCTCAGGTTGGTCTTGAACTGCTGAGCTCAGGCAATCTATTTGTCTTGGCCTTCCAGAGTGCTAGGATTATGGGCATGAGCAACAGCATTCAGCCAATTTCTGATTTATTTTAATTCAAGAATTGATATTTTCACAAATCTATCTAGAAAATTACAATAAACTATATTCACCCTACCAAGAAATCTTTAATTTTAGCAACTATACAGAATTTAAGATCCAACACCTGCATATACACAGGTTACTACAATCACAATTTTAATTCAATAATTACATCACGATCATCTAAGTGTTTACCTCTGCATGTAAATGCAGATATAAAGTATTCTATACTTGCAAAAATGTTAACATATCCATCTAATCCAAAAAGTCCAAAATAAAATTAGTTTATCTAGCACTATGCAAACCATATAATTTGCTCTTAAAAGGAACCAAAATGGTAGCATGAAGAAAACATAGATGTGTACCTAATGTAACTGCTCTGCCCTGCAACCTTTCCATCTAAGGGTTCCCAGAGTGACTGCCTATGGTTAAAATACACACATGCTTGAATTTTACTTGCCTATTAGATAGGTCTAGGAGACAACATTGCAAAAAAAATTTAGAGTAAAAATATAAGAGCAATTTAAGAATTGTTTTCAAAAATATGTCTAATAAATATGAATACCACATGACCTGCCACTTTGCATGGTGCCCTCCTGCTCAGACAGGCCTTGAGGACACCCTCTTCCCCATCAGAGACTCACTCTCTCTGCCAAACTCCCTGCCTTTTTAGCCTCCAAGCAGCTCCTTAAACCCCTGTAAGCTGGTCTCAGGCCTCAAACCTCTGCTGCAACAACTCTCTGCAGTCACAAACTCCCCCAATTGCTAAACACAGCTGCCTTCATGCAGTCCAAATTCTATGTCCTCACCAGTACAGCATGCATGACACTTCTGATTTCTTCTCATTCCTGAGTCTCTTTGGGCTTTTGCTGGGATGAGTCTCTCTTTCTTTTCCCCTCTCCTCTGACCACCCCAATCTCTTATATTTCATCCTTCATAATCTCCTACTTTGAACATAAAATAGGATGACATCAAAGTAACTGCCTCTTGCCAGGAATGGAACTTTAGGCCTGTATTTCATTATGTGACCATGTCAAAGGTACCATCACCTCAACTCATCCGAAACAGCATTCAGTTCAGTCTCCCCTAGAAAATCTTCCCTCCTCCCTCCTTAGCTAACGGCAAATGCCATTCCCAGGCAAGAGGAGGAACTTCGCCTCCACAGTAAGACTGTTAGCTTCATTACTGAAACATTTCTTGAATTTGTTTCTTCCTATCTCACTGCCTTCTTCCTAATCCCAGCTCTTTTGTCTTTTAGAGTGAGTTTCTGCAACAGCCACTTTAAATCCATTCTCTGCAGAGTAACGTTCTAAGAAACAAACTTCTCGTCGTGTCACACCACCCCTGCTTAAAAATACCCAATGCCTCAATGATTATAAAAATTAAATTCTAAGGCAGCACCTGTGGCTCAGTGGGTAGGGCGCCGGCCCCATATACCCAGGGTGGCAGGTTCAAACCCGGCCCTAGCCAAACTGCAACAAAAAATAGCTGGGCGTTGTGGCAGGCGCCTGTAGTCCCAGCTACTCAGGAGGCTGAGGCAAGAGGATTGCCTAAGCCCAGGAGTTGGAGGTTGTTCTGAGCTATGACGCCACAGCACTCTACCGAGGGTGATAAAGTGAGACTCTGTCTCTACAAAAAAAAAAAAAAAAAAAAAAAAATTAAATTCTACATTCTGTCATAATACACATAATGCCCTTTTTAGTTTCCCCTAACCTATCCCCCTTGGAGGAATTTGGGTGAAATGCCCAGGAGCCTAAATCAAATGGCCAAGGCCAGGGAGGCCCTGTTAGTGGGTAAATGCAAGCCAGGGTCCACAAAGATGAGCCTTCACAGACATGCCTAGGCTCAAAGGGGACTCACACAAGGCCATGAAAATGGGAGAGCTGGGATGTGCAAAGGGTCCAGAACAAATAGAAGCAAGTAGAAAGGGACCAGGGGTGGCAGGTGACAACGGCTCATGTTTCAGGAAGAGCCCTGGCTGGACAGCCAACACCACTGCCTTCTAGCCATCATCCTTGACTGCTCAGCTGCTACCCAGGCCAGAATTCTGCATCAGAGTAGGAGCTGGCAGCCTCCTCAGAGAGCATGCAGCTGTGACAGGGGAGAGGTGGTGCTGCTTACAATGCCAAGAACAATAAAAGGTGTGAGACTGTGAGTTCCAACCTGTTGAAATGCCTTTGAGCATCCCATGGATGCGGATGATGCCTTGAGAGGAGATGGGAGAAGACATGCAACACACCTGGCACAGGACCTCCCCATGACAGGTGCTTGATGCAAAGGACCCCTGTTAAATCTTCAGAAGCCAGGCAATTTTCTCAGTACTGTGGCATAAGCACCCTTCATGATCTGGCTGTGACTGTCTGCCCCTTCCATTTTCCCCACTTCTTCCCTCAAGCCCCATATGTTAGCCTGATTGCTCTTTCTGTGTCCCTGCAAATCCTAAAACTTGGCCTGTGCAAAGCAAATTCTGGCCCCCACTAAGGTCTGGCTCCAATTCTATCTCTTTGGGATTTTTTTTCCCTGTATATTATACATTAACCCACCATCTTGAGTGGGTCCCTTGAGTTCCTACCCCTCTTTTCTCTAATCATCATGTGATGGTATCACAAGTAGGTTACAATGTGAGTTTTTACATATATGTTGCCCTCCTTCCTGATGAGACTCACAGTGGCCTGTTCTGTGTCCTCCGATGGTGCCTCAACCACTAAAGGCAGTTGATAAATATTCCCTAACAAACCCATCAATGGAGATATTTTCAATCATGTCATACTAGATTGTGAGGAGGCACATCCACGTACCTTTAAGATTTCAGTGTCCAAAACCATGGTTACTTGTTGCTTCATTTCAGGTCCCATATTCACAGGGTCTTCTGGTTTAATTTCAGGTTGTGTACACATGGAAGTGTCTAGCTTAAATTCAGAGTCTGTTGCTACATGTAATTTTTGTGTGATTTCAGGGTGTGCACACATGTAAACTTGCTTAGGTATAGAATCTGCACATATAGGAACTTTTTGTTTGAATTCAGGGAGTGTATACGTGAGAACTTCTTGCTTGCATTCAGAGTCTATATAGGTGGAAATTTCTTGCCTTGATTCAGGCTCTGTACACATGGGAACTTCTTGCCTGGATTCAGGGTCCATACACATGGGAACTTCTTGCCTGGATTCAGGGCCTGTACACATGAGAACTTCTTGCCTGGATTCAGGGTCTGTAAACATGAGAACTTCTTGCCTGGATTCAGGGTCTATACACACGGGAACTTCTTGCCTGGATTCAGGGTCTGCACACATGGAAACTTCTTGCCTGGATTCAAGGTCTGTACACACGGGAACTTCTTGCCTGGATTCAAGATCTGTACATTTAGAAATGTCTTGCTTGGATTCAGAATCAGAACTCATGGTTATTACTTGTTTGTCCAAAGTTATTACATCTTTGGGCTTTTGGAAAAACCAAGGTGATTTCTGTCCTGGCAAAAGATATGATGCCACTCCTTTATAAAAAAGAGCTTTGTTTGCTCCCAAAGGTAATATATCTTCTAATTTTTTCTCACCTTGATACAAACGAAGAACTTTAGATATATGATCTGACACAGCTAAGATAACATTGCCTTTTTTGTCAAAGTTTTCTTTTACAGAGGTATAGGAAGATAAACACTTGTACCGAAAGCTTTCAAACATGCCCTCTGGGATTACGTCATTGCCAAGTAGGCAGGCCAACAGAGGAAGGTCCATCAGGTGGAGACCTAGATGCTCACACAGTTTCTCTCTACAGAGCATGACAGTGTCCAGGCTCTCTAAGCAGAGCTCGCTAATAGAAAAATAGGGGCAAGTATCATAGATTAAGTAATCTGTGTCTTCCCCAAGAATCCCAAGACAGTTGTGCTGGAGACCGTAGGAAGCGACCTCATAGTCTGCCTCCCGCAAGGAGCAAAATGTCTCCTGACCTAATGTCTTCAGGGCAAATCGTGTGAACAAGGCCAGCCCTGAGGGGATAAAGAACATGTTCCTTCCTGGCTGCTGCCTATGAGACTTGATATAATGGAAAATCCTGCCTATCTCCTTGCTGTTCTTTAGTCTGCGCCTCACCCACTCATCTCGCTTGCCCTGCTCCACCATACCATCGAAGAAGAAGACCAGCTTGATGCCCACTGCTGTGAAAGCTTTAATAAAGTCTCGCAAAGCAGAAAAGTATTCTCGCCATTGGCCACCGCAGATCCAAGATTCCGGAGTGTACCAGTACCTGAGACAACACATGGCATCTACCACAACTGTGGGCACGCATCCAGGGAACTGGCTGCGGTGCTGCACCACCAGGTCTTTGAAATTTACCACTGTACACACGTGTGGGCAGGTACTTCCCACAAATCCTTGCAAACCTCTCACACCCATAGCTGAACTCTGGGAAAAATCTGGAAAGAAAAACAGATCAGTAATTAATAATTATAGAATTATCACTAGACAGATGGCACCTTTCAAAGCAAACATAAGACAATATTTAACATTCCTTCTCTATTTCCAAAAAAAAAAAAAAAGAAAAAAACTCTTGTCACCAAGGTAACATACTGGTTAGGAACCTAAAGAGTTTTCCAATAAAACACATGAGGAATTTTACCTAATTTAATTACTTCGGACTTTCACAACGCAATGTACCTACCCTTTTAAGATTTTCACTATGATTACTATTCAAGATATTTATCAACCAAATTCAAAAAGAGGCTAACTATTTTCAAAAAAAGTAGTGTTTTTCACTTAGGAGTAGGAACTCAAACAGAAGATACGGTTAAAATCTACAATATAAATTGCAACGCATAACATGGATGATTCTAAAAATAATCTTGCTGAATGAAAGCCAGACCAAAAAAAAGAACAGACACTCTGATTCAGCTTATACCAAATTCTAGTGCACTGAGTTAAGCCAACCTGTAGTCACTGAAATAGATGAGTGTTTGTCTAGGATAGGACAGGCAGCAGGGAGGGACAGCCAAAGGGGCACTTTTTGGGGTGACAGATGTATGTATTCGTGGTTGATGGTATAAAACTCATCAAATCGCACATTGTTAAGTTTGTATGTCAAGTAAAGCTACATGAAAATTTACTATTTCAAATGCTGTAGCATATGAGTGAATGACTCATGTTACATGGAAAACTGACCATTCTAAAATTTAAAACCAGACACAAAGTAGTTCAAGAGTTAGAATTCAAAGTTTAGAAATAAGAAGAGTACAGTAAAATATTCTTGGGCTGGGTGAGGTGGCTCATGCCTATAATCCCAGCACTCTGGGAGGCCGAAGTGGGTGGACTGCTTGAGCTCAGGCATTCAAGACCAACCTGAGCAAGAGCAAGAGCAAAACCCCATTTGGTAAAAAAAAAAAAAAAAAAATAGCGGGGGTTGTGGCGGCACCTGTAGTCCCATCTACTCTGGAGGCTGGAAATGGAGGTAGGAAGGGTTGAGGGTGCCTCCCAATATTTCAGCCCCTTCAAAGCATTAAATATTTACAACACTCAGTTAGTATGGTGTGGAATAAAATGTCTAAAAAACCAGAACACTTTGGATATTACAATTTTTAGGCCTTTTATTTCATTTTCAAAAGGTGGTTCTTATAGGATGACCAAGCAGAGGAGAAATATATGTGGTGTATATATAATTAACTTTACCTGAAAATTACATAGGAAATTTTCATTACTTCTATCTCATTAAGCAGCAGTTGTACTGACCCAGCACAGCCAGGCACGCTCTGGGGAGCCACCACACCCCACATGGTACTCATCATGTGTTAACATGATGGTTCAGTTAAGTATCTCTCTCCTCTTCTGCAATAGTCTTACATAAGATCTTCCTTACCATTTTAATAAATGTCAGAATTTTCCTTAACACTGGCATGACAAAAAAAGCCTATTTAAGCAAAAAACTAGAAAGTTTATATCAATTATGATGTACTTGGTATATCTAGAAATAGATGTCTGGACTCAGGGAGCCCTGGAGGACCCACTCCAGAACAGTCTTACCATGACCACTTGGTGTTACCTGATGTCAAGACACTCCCTTTTAGCCATGTCACAGGGGAAAAATGAGAAAATGAAGGGCACAACAGGCAGTATGCTGATAAAAGGAAAGGCTTCAACACAACAAGGAACTGAGTTTAAATTCTAACTGCCACTTAATAACTATGAAACCTTAGGCAACTTATTTCGTTCTGTAAGTTTGTTTTCTTTATCTGAAAAATGACGCTTATAAAATGCATCTTATCAAGTGTTGTAGTATGGTTTTATTTGTTAAAATTGTATCATAAATTTGTTCATATTTTTATCAGTTGCCTAAAGTTTAGTAAAATCATCTAAGCACCAGTCAAAATTCTAAAATTATCTTGATTTTTTTAAAAAAGCCATATGAAGTTTAGTTGTATCTTATTATATTTATAATTTTAATAAGCTAGATTACTTAATACTGGAAAGAAATAATTTTTTAATAAAAAATTTTCTGATTAAAAAAGTAACCATGTTCTTTGCAAAAAATTCAGAGAAAGAATAAAGAAAAAATTTTAACACTGCCCATAATCTCCTCTTCCAAAGACTATGATTACAACCATTTTACATATTTCTAGTCTTTTTCCATTATTAATTACTCTTAAAGATTGAGATCATGCTATTCTATGTTTGGCTTTCATGTCTTAATTTATTACGGCTACATCCCAAGTCATGGTGCTAATGTTCTCCCAGTGTCCTGCTGGATGGATGACATGTACATACTATTTTGCCCACTGTGAAACACTTAGGTTACTTCTAACGCCTCATGCTGTTAACAAGAATGCTCGCACACCCCTGCATATAAACCTCTGAGCACATCTCTGATCATTTCCTGAGGATCTCAGATATGAAGTTGCTCAAAGTATAAGCAAACCTGGGTAGTTTTTCTCCAACAGGGTTGTGCTAAGCATAGATTCATTTGTAACTCATGAATACTCACTTCTCCTCCACAATGCAGGTAGTTTCATTTGAAAATAAATTTGGCTTATCCATTCAGCAAGCATCTTTATGTTAGGCAAAGAAGTAGACACTAAGCCATGAATAAGCCCTCCAGCAACAATCTCTTAAGCCTGATTGGAAGACAGAGACAGGAGGAGCATGGGGAAATACTCTGCAGGGAGAACCAAACTGGTGTGGGATCTAAGATGATCCCTGAGGAAAGGCCATTTTAAAGCAAGGCCTGAGACAGGCAAGTGAGGCCACAGGGAGGCATGAGCCAAGAGCAACAAAGAGAAAATGTTTCAAAGATACCCTTCTAAAAAAATTATTAGACGAATGTAAAGTACTAAAACACCTCTTCCATTGTTAGTTTAACCTAATCTGCAATTTTATTTGTTATAAGTTTCTTCGTCAAACATGGAAATGGAAAAAAGAAACCCACAGTATGGCTAGAACCTCTCTTTTAAGGGAAGATGAGATGAGGCTGGAATAGAAAGGGCTAGATCAGTGAAGGCCCTGGAAACAATACTAAAATGCCTACACTTCATCCAAAGGGGCAGTAAACACAGTAAACATCACTCAGGCTTCTTTTTTTTTTTAATTTTAGAGACAGAGTTTCACTTTTGTCACCCTTGGTAGGGTGCCATGGAGTCACAGCTCACAACGACCTCCAGCTCCTTGGGCTTAGGAGATTCTCTTGCCTCAGCCTCCAGAGTAGCTGGGAGTACAAGGCTCCCACCCCAATGCCTAGCTATTTTTTGTTGCAGTTTGGCTAGGGCGGGGTTCGAACCTGCCACCCTTGGTATATGGGACCAGTGTCCTTCTCACTGAGCCACAGGCTCTGCCCATCACTCAGGCTCCTAAATAAGTCCATTCAGAAAATACTCTTCTGCCTATATTGTGGGGACACAGAGAGGCAGGCAAGGATAAAGGTAGCTGAGGGGCCATCGTGGACACTGCCCAGCATCCAAACACCCTTGCTGTTCTGGAGGAATCCCAAGACGGGAGGATGCAAAGCCCCATTTCCCTCTGTAGCAGTCTAAAGGCAGACATACCAAAGGCATGAGATCAAAACTCAGCCACCTTCACACAGTAAATACTCACCTGCTACTTCCTATGCTCCAAGGTCCAAGGTGACAGCTCTGGAGACAGTGATGAAGACAGAGCCCCCGAGTGAGATAAAGGCTCTTGACAGAAGGAGGCAAAGGCTCAGAGTCGTTAGAGAAGAAGCCAACCTGGAGGAGAGTGATTGGTATGTCAAAATGTGCCATTTATGCCCAAAGCCCCTCTAACCCCACTGGCCAGACTGGAGCACATAATCAGTTTTGTTCAGCCACTTCTGCCTGTGCAGCAAAGAAGGCAGGAGGGCCTGCTGGGAAGCAGCCAATATGTATGGGAATGTCACTTGCCCAGGTCACAGGCAGCAATTAATAGGGAAGCAAGATTTAGGTCCGCCAGCCTCCAAAGCCTGGCTTCCTTTCCCTAGGCACAACCCTAGCCTCGCACTGCTGCATGCTGGAGTGACTGGTCACTGCCAGCCTGTGTGTGTGCATGCCAGGTAGGCCAATGGCCTCACTTCAGAGCTGCCCTGATGGTGTACTTACCCCAGAGGTATCTCTACAAAGGTTATTCCTAGTTCCTAGCCCACTCTCAGAGGCCCAGCAGTAAGGCTGGGACTGAAGGAAGTAGCACAGAGCTCTGTGCCCTTGGCCTTCCTACCCTACTGAGCTCCACAAAATCCCTCAGAGGCTGATGGATGAAAACCACTGTCACTAAATGTAGAAGGGACACCCATACAAATTTATAAGTCTTCATTTATCCAGAATTCAGAAGATCCTATACAAATCCAGTTCATAAATTAAAGTTAAAACAACTTATTCAAAAGAGATTTCTTCAGGTTCTTATCATCACCTATATCCTAGTTTTCTAATCAGTTCTAACTTTTGGCTCCTGAACCCACCAGAGAGGGAGGTACAGGGACTTAGGCAGGAATGCTCACAGCAGGGTAAGAGCAGACAGTTGCAGGAAACAGAAGGGCAGGAGTCTTTAATAAATTTATAAGGCAAAAAAGAACAGGCAAAACAGTTGTACATATGCATGTGCCTCAACAAGTCTAAGAATACCACATCACTGCTCACTTCATAACAAATTATGTCTAAAATGATGACTTGAGATTAAGAAAGGTTTACATCACATTCAGTACATTCTACTTAAGAACATGAAGATACAATACTTTAGAAAGATTCCCATCATAAATGGAATATTTTGGTGCTCAATGGACAAAAACCTAAACTATCCAGAAATCTCTGCCATTCAGAAAGTTACTATCCTTTTGTCATAGGCAGCCATGGCTTTGCTGTAAATGATTTTATAATAATTTTCAGGATCCACAAAGAATTACTTTGGGGTGCTAAAGTTCTAACAGGAACAGGATTACTACTGCCTACTTTTAAGGACTGTGTGCGCAGACATACAGATACGGACACACAGATACAGTGAAGGATACATTTTGGTCCACCTTATATTAAATGTTCTATAAGAGCTGACTAAAATAGATTCCTCTTTACTGAGTAATATGTGTTTATAAGGTAATCCAGCACTTTCGAAGACTGAGGCAGGAGGATCAATTGTGGCCAGAAGTTCAAGGCTACAGTGAGCTGACCATGTCACTGCACTCCAGCCTGGGCAACACAGAAAGACTTTGTCCCAAAAAGAAATAAAAAGGGGGGGGGGGACATTGTCTTTTTTGCCTAGCAAAGGCACTGGCTGACCGCAAGCATTTGGACTCAAATCATTACATCACTGACTTCCTTATTTGTAAAAATAAGATAATGATTTGCCTCTCAAGTTAGGGAGAACTGAAACTACTATCAAAAGATGCATTACAAACACCTTGTTATAGTTACATGAATAATTTAACATGTTCTAAGTCTTTGAAGATTTTTTCCAATAGAACACTTTACAAAGACACAGATGTCTCAAAGCAAATTAAAATAAAGTTATTTATACTTGTTCTAAAGCTCTATAAAAAGAACTGATAGCATTAGGGTTGCCTCATTTTCAAAGTAATAAGAGAAAGGTTGCAATAAATTCCTCTGAATGAATTTCCATAGGGTACAACCCTAGTTTCCATGTGGTTAAGTGGTGCTTTATGATTTCAGTTAAGCTGACCATTTTTCTTTCTTTCCTTCTTTTTTTTGAAACAGTCTTATTTCATCACCCTCAGTAGAGTGCTGTGGCATCACAGCTCACAGCAACCTCAAACTCTTGGGCTCAAGTGATTCTCTTGCCTCAGTCAGCCTCCTGAGATGCTAGGACTATAGAAGCCCACCACAATACCTGCCTATTTTTAGAGAGGGGGTCCTGCTCTGGCTCAGGCTGGTCTCCCAAACTCCTGAGCTCAGACAATCCACCTGCCTCAGCCTCCCAGAATGCTAGGATTACAGGCATGAGTCACCATGCCTAGCCTCTGACCATCTTTCTTACCATCAACCTTTTCTTGAAGTGGTGGCAACTCAGAAGTGAAATAAGTCAAACAATACATTCATATAAACTTGCAAAAAAGTAGTCACAAAGATTCTGCCAATGTGCTAAGTTACCAAACTCTGATACTTCCTGAAACTAGAGTAAAATGAAGTAGGGTTTATGTCAGGAATTCCTTTTTTTTAAAAAAAAAAAGCAAGGTCTTGCTCTATTGCATAGGCTACAGTGCTGTGGCACCATCATTGCTCACTGTGGTCTTGAACTTCTGGGCTTAAGGGATCCTCCTGCCTTGGCCTCCCAAAGTGGTGGGACTACAGGCATGAGCCACAAAGTTTGGCCTACATTAGGAATTTGATCAGTTCCACTCACTCATATTTTCTTCCAGGCCTAAATAACAAGCATACCCTAGAAGGGGAAGGAATGAGAGGAAGAGAGAAGAAAGAGTGAAAGACAAAAATGCAAATCTCACAGCAGCAGGATATGACAAGTGGTCAGTTTGGGAGGGATCCAAGTTGTAATGGGACTGAAGCAAACAATGTGGGCACCCTCTTTTCAAACAAGAGAACAAATTATATACCTAAGACCCCTGAGGATCTAGGGCCTGGTAAGGGACCCATGTAAGTGAGAGATCCATAAGACTGAACTTCACTTTCATGGATGGGGAGAATTTCAGGATGCTAAACACTGTGAGTGACCTCAGAAGTCACCTACTGTAATCTTCTCAGTGGGCCACAGGTGATCAGAGATTTCAATATGTCTGGAATATTAGGTGGTTAGAAACTACACAGAAAACTGGGAGGCAAGGTGGTCTAGAGATGATACATACATATACATAAACATACAAAGAAAGAGAGAGAGACAAGTGCTGAGGCCCCTGCCACAGGACAGTGTGGGTGCTTTTCAAGAACATAACTGGTAAGAAAAGCACAATTAGAATTCTAACACAAACGGAATGGCAAGGTCAGGGGAAGCTCAGTAACAGGGGAGCTTGGAGATGGCAGAAATGGTATGAGGAGGAAATCTAAATGCAGAGAACACAGTGTAGAGGCTGAAGTGGTGGCGGAGAGGATGGCTTCTGAACAGCAAGGTCCAAAGATGGGGAGGTCTAAAAACATAGGGAGAGGGAGGTGAGAGGTCAAAAGCAAAAGGACGCTAGACACAAAGGGACTTGGGAAGACGTCAGCAGATAAGACCCCCCAACACACTGCAAAGGGAATAGTAAGGACCCTACTGCTCCCAACTTGGCCCCACTCTGCGTTTCTGCCTCTCTGAACCACCTACTCAAGGGCTCCAGCCACTGCAAAGCCACCGCCTACCTTCTTCACCTCCACGTCCTCCCCATGACCATGTCTGCATCTGCGGTTCCCTGAACGATGGCCCAAGGCCTAACACGCTGCAGAGTCATCCCACACCACCCTCCCTGCACCTGCCGGCCAGACGGACTGTTTTTAAACACTAAGGTTTGGCCATATTACTGCCTTGCTCCACATAAGCAATGCATTTAGTCCCAGGAATGCTGCAGTACTGTAGTTCCCTGAATTCACGCCAGGCCATACGAAACCTTCATACCGCAAACATTCCTGCTCCGCCAGAAACAGGAACACCCTCTCAACTCTCTTTATCTCTCAACTCCTTCTTATTCAAACCTCAGCTCAAATCCTCCTTTTGGGGAACGTCCTGGCCCTCCTTGAGCAAAGAATTGTGTAAGATACCCCCAGTCTCCTTGCGCTGTTGGGCGTGCGTGACGCTGGGTTAGGACCCCAGTCTTATCCTCTCTCCTCTCGAGAAAGAGCAAAGTACTTGCGAGGCACAGGTCCCTGGGTTCCGGAAAGCTCAGAAATGACTAGATGAAAAAGCGAGAAGGGGAGAGGACGCCTTTTCAGGAACCACCAGAGAAGGCACGCGGCCTGAGGAACGGCTGACCTGACTCAAAAACGACACGAAGGGCCAGATGGGTCCTGAGCGGAGGAGAGGATTAGGGGCTGATTCCATAAGAGCCTCACGGCGGCTGGGCCCACATTAGACGTAGCTGCTGCCAGGCGCGGGGAAAGCGGGGCGTGGACTTGGCTCAGCCGAACCCGCGGCCCACGGACTGACGCGCACTAGAGTCGGATGCCGGGAATGGATGGCCAGGGGCCTGCTCAGCCGGGCCCTCTACCTCTAGAAGCCGCCGGACACTCACCCTCAGACTCTAACCCTCCGCCACCGTCGCAGCACTACACCTCCGCACTACTTCCGCTTCCGCTCGTGAGCCCGCCCCATTTGCGCGGGCCAGGCTGACGCACCCCGGCCCGGCAGGCGTTGGGGGAGAGGACGGGGCGCGCGGGTGCAGAGGGAGAGAACGCAGCGCGCAAGCGCCGGTGGAGTAAGACTCTCAGTCCGTTGTCTTGGTAACCTCCCGGCGCTTCCAAGGCCGCTGGTCACGTCATAGGTTCGCTTTCCCGAGACAGTCGTGGGCACTGCTCTTGTGCCCTTTGATTCCACGGACCCTGTCCTGCCGGGCCGACTGGTGGCTGGACGCCGGCTTTTGTCTGCGCAGGCGGATGGCCCCGGGAGCTGTTGCTCTGGGTCCAAGCCGCCGGACGTTCGGCCTGACTGGGTCAGGCGCGGCAGCAGGCCCCACAGCGCGCGATTCTGCTGGGCCCCCACGCCACCAGCCCCACACCGCCGGGCCCTGCGGAGCCTGTGGTGCGCTCCTCGGGGTCCTCTCCTGCGCGATCCGCGGCGTTTCTCCCCTGCGGTCTATCAGGTGCCCTCCTCCCCTCCTCTCCCCCCCCCCCCGCGCTCGCTCTGCGTGGCTGCTCCCGGCTACGGTGCTGCGGGACGGCATCAGCGTGGCTGCAGTGAGCCCTGCAAGGGTTAGCCACCTTCTGGCTCTTAGTACCGCAGTTGTAGGTTCGTGGGCGAAGTTTTTTTATGGCAGGTTTTCGGACCTGGAATGGACGTTAGAGAACTCGAGGAGGGAGGACGGCGGTGAGAAGGCAGGGCCTGGGCCCGGTGGCGTAGGTCTCGCCGTCATGTCACCTCGAGAAGTGCGGGCTCCACGTGCCCGCGACAGTCCCAGCCTTAGTGCTGAGGCTGAGGTGGCCACGTTCACGTACAGGACATGCTGCCTTGGGCTGGAAGATAAGGTAGTGTCAGATCGTACCCAATTTCATTCTTCTAGCCACAGTTCACTACAACCAAGAGAACGTTCTAAAAAAGTAAATTAATGACAAACATTAATTATTAATAACACCAATTACTTAAGATGTATTTCAAAACCTGTCCTTATGCACAATACATCTCAGCAGAGTTGTTGTAAGCCCTGTGAGCTGATGAAGCTTCCATCAGGGAAGTAAAATGCTCAGATACTGTTCTAGGAAAACATTCTGTTGGTTTCCTTTAGAATCTCTGGCAAAGTACTTGACTGTGCACTCGAAAAATATTACCAAATTGAAGTTTCATCACATATACATTAAGGATTTGGGCCGGAAGCTCTCAGTTTCAGCACATGAGGCTTTCGTTTCCTGTTGGCTTTTTCCCCCTTCTAAGTAAAATCAGCATAGGGTGCTGTGGGGTTACTAAGTCTGTGAAAAGACTTCTCATCTGAAGGATGCACAGTGTGGATGGGGACACAGATTAACATATGCCAAGCTTTAAGGAACAAGTGACACACAAAGTCAGGTTTGTAAGGTTTGTGTCCCCTCAAAATTAATTCGAATTTGAAATTAGTCCTTAAGGTGATGGTCTTAGGAGCCTGGCCCTTTGGGAGGTGATTAGGTCAGGAGGGTGGAGCCTCATGAACAAGATTAGAACCCCTGTAAAATGCACACCCCCCCTTTCCACTATGTGAGGACATGTTGAGAAGATGGCTTGCAACCCAGAAAAGAGTTTTTACCAGAAGCTGACATGCTGGCACCTGATCTGAGACCAGCAGGCTCTAGAACCATGAGAAATAAATTTCTCTTGTTTATAAACCACACCATCTGGGTCATGGAGGCCATGGGAGGAGGCTCTGGTTACCTCACAGTGAGTCCCTGTGTAAGTAGTTCTCATTACTGCACAGGGCTTCCAGTAGCACTGTTGCTTCACTTTTAAATGTACACAGGTAACTTAGGATCAGCAAACATTTGAGGAAGACAGGAAAGGAAAAAAACGTACTAGGAATAATAAAAAAAAAGGCAAGGAGGAGAAAATGTTATTAAGAGAAACTTTATTTGTAGTCTCTGAAGATAATATTACATAATATAGGATGGCCATAAAGTTTGCGTGTAATTTTAAATTGCACATGAACTTTATGGCCACCCTGTATTACATCTGTGAAAGAAAGAGGTTAGGCCCAGCATGGTGGCATACCCTGTAATACCACCACTCTGGGAGGCTGAGGCAGAAGGTTTTTTGAGCTCAGGAGTTTGAGACCAGCCTGAGCAAGAGTGAGACCCCATCTCTACTAAAAATAGAAAAACTACCAGGGCTTGTAGGTGTGTGTAGTCCCAGCTACTTGGGAGGCTGAGGCAAGGGGATCACTTGAGCCCAAGAGTTTGAACTTTTGTGAGCTATGACACTAGCCAGAGTGACAGAGTGAGACTGTCTCAAAAAAAAAGAGAGAGAGAGAGAGAGAGAAGGATATATAAAAGAATATTCAGAGGATAAGAATGAGGTCTGGAAAATTAGAAAAGCAATAACTAAAATGTAAAAGTTAACGAAAAGTGCCAAGCTTGATGGTTCACAACTGTAATTCTTGCACTCTGGGAAGCTAAGGTGGGTGGATTGCTTGAGCTCACAAGTTTGAGACCAGCCTGAGCAAGAGCAAGACCCTGTCTCTAAAAACAGCCAGGTGTTGTGGCAAGAGCCTGTAATCCCAGCTATGTGGGAGGCTGAGGCAAGAGAATCGCTTGAGCCTAAGAGTTTGAGGTTGCTGTGAGCTATGAGGCCCCAGCACTCTACCAAGGGTGACAAATCAAGATTCTGTCTCGAAAAAAAAATAAGGTTAATAAAAGAGAAGATAAATTTGATGCTACCTCTCAGATGATAGAACAAAAAGAGAAAACACGAGAAAATGAGAAGATTAAGAGGTCTGACATCTGAAAAATAGGAACTACAGAGAAAAAATAGAGAAAATGGAAGAGAAGAAAATTACTCAAGAAATAATTATTAAAAACTTGCCAGATCTAGAAGACATGTTCTCATCTTGAAAGTGACCACCAAGTGCCAGCAAAACAAAACTAAAAAGATCTACATCAAGACACATCACAGAAGTTCAGAACACCAGGGATAAAGAAAAGATTTTAGTTTACAGATGGAAAAATAAAAAGATCACATTTAAGGGACTGGGAAATCTGGAATGGAAGTTCTCCATTGAGTCCCAGGAAGCGGAAATACAATGAAACATTACCTTTAAAATTCTGAAGAAAATAATTGTAACATAGAATTTAACTTTCAGTCAATGTATTAGTTACATTTGTGGGTAGGATAAAGATATTTTCAGATACACAAGCTCAAAAACATTACTAAATACCTTATCTCAGAAAGCTATTGGAAGATATTCTCCAAAATTAAGAAAGAAGAATATGGTACTAGGAATTAGAAAGCAGATAAGAGAGGGGAAGTGAAGTGCCAAGACAAAAACTAGGAACTTTGGTGAAGGAGAGAATCCTCTATGAGAAATTCCTCAAGACTAAAGAGAAGTTCATGAAATGCCTGATATATTCTGAATATTTTAAAAGAGGATCTTCAGAATCTAGTGATGGTAAGTAACAACTACATAGGAAAGTCAATAAGCAAATAATTCATTCCACGATTGAATCTAGCAAAGACAAAACAGTCTACAAAGAGAAGTGTAATAATAGTTTATGCCTCAGCTATGAACCATTGTATAATTATAATAAGGTAATTACTGAATAGTTTAATCAAAAAGGATGCCCTAGGGCAGGTACCTTGGCTCATGACTATCATCCTATCACTCTGGGAAGCTGAAGCGGGTGTATTGCCTGAGCTCAAGAGTTCGAGACCAACCTGAGCAAAAAAGTGAGACCTCCATCTCTACTAAAAATAGAAAAACTAGCTGGATATTGTAGTAGGCACCTGTAAGTCCCAGCTACTTGGGAGGCTAAGGCAAGGAGATTGCTTGAGCCTGAGTTTAAGGTTGCTCTGAGCTGTTAAACACCATGGCACTCAGGGTGAGAGAGTGAGACCCTGTCTCAAAAAAAAAGGGGGGGGGTTCCATAAGTTCTTTTGAAAAAAGGGAGGTAACTCTAGTTTGCTTATATATGTATTTCTAGGAAGTAAGGGTAAGAGAATTAAATCCTTGCTTTTTAAAATTAGGAAGTCCATGAACTAAACCACAGCATTAAAAACTCTTATTTTATTATATTTTATTTATTTACTTTTTTTTTTTGAGACATGTTGCCCTCGATAGAGTGCTGTGGCATCACAGGTCACAGCAACCTCAAACTCTTGGGCTTAAGCAATTCTCTTGCCTCAGCCTCCCAAGTAGCTGGGACTACAGGCTTCCACCACTATGCCCAGCTATTTTTTTGTTGTAGTTACCATTGGTTGGCAGGCCCAGGCCGGGTTCAAACCTGCCAGCCTTGGTGTATGTGGCTGGTGCCCTAACTGTTGTATCATGGGCGCTGAGCCAGCATTAGAAACTTTTATAAAAAATATGAGAGTAAATTTCAAAAGAAGTATATCAAGGTAAATGTAGGGGAAAGGATGGGGAGTAGGGATGTGTGGTATAGGCAATTGCTGTTTTTGTCACAAATCTAGAAATACTATTTGAATTTTAAAATTATATTACTTGGATAAAAGCCAAAGTTTTAAGTTTTAAAGAGTTGTTAAATAACTAGTACAAATGGTGGGTAATAAGGTGCATAATTTTTGCTCAAATTCTGACCTAAATTCTAAAGCTTTTTATAGTTTTTATTATACTACAATACTGTACAGTGAAGGAAAAGAAAAGTCAAAGATTACTTCAAGATCTCTTTCCTGGGTAGCTAAAAGACATCAGTATACAGGAGCAAAAGAAAATTATATTTGATTATCCACATCTTCTTTCACCTCTGCTTCACATCCCGGACAGACAAACTTTCTGACAATTATGCATGTCCAACTTAACAGTTTAGGAGAAAATCTAAAGATGGCATGGAGAATATACATAAAAGAAAAATAGGAAAGGAAACAGAGGAAGATAGGAAAAACTGTTAGGTTGAACTTATTTGGGGGGTAGTGAAAAATTAAAGAGAAAGTTCACA